AAAAAATACTTTTAAAAAAAGATCAACAGGTGCTGCCAGGCAGGGGGCAATCCCTGCTGTCCCCCTGCTCCCCCAGCCCCCCATGGGTGCCCCGCCCATGCCAGCTCCAGCCCTTTTAAAAACAAAAAACAACCAGAGAGTGGTGGTGGACGGGTCATTTTTTTGACCTGGAGGGATGTGGGCAGTGGGGTTCCCCAGGGCTTGGTCCTTGGGCCCGTACTGTTCAACATCTTTATCAACGACTTGGATGAGGGGGTGGAAAGCATGTCATCCAAGTTCGTTGATGACACCAAGATGTGGGGCAAGGTGGGCATGCCAGAAGGATAGGACAGAATTCAGCTAGATCTGGACAGATTTCAGAGATGGACAGATGAGAATAGGATGGAATTCAACGTGGACAAGTGCAGGGTACTGCATCTAGGGAGAAGGAACCAGCAGCATACCTATAGGCTGGGGAACACCCTTCTCGTCAGCACAGAGGCAGAAAGGGATCTTGGAGTCATTGTTGACTCCAGGTTGAACATGAGCCGCCAATGCAGGGAAGCTGTCAGTAAGGCTAACCGCACCTTGTCATGCATCCACAGATGCATCACAAGCAGGTCCAGGGAGGTGATATTTCCCGTCTGTGCAGCATTGGTCATGCCACAGTTGGAGTACTGCATCCTGTTTTGGGCACCGCACTTCAAGAAAGATGTGGCTAGCATTGAGAAGGTCCAGAGAAGGGCCACTCACATGCTCTGCTGCCCCTTGATCAGGCCCTACGAGGAGAGGCTAGAGGGCCTGAATCTATTCAGCCTCCACAAGAGAAGGCTGAGGGGAGATCTGGTAGCTGTGTACAAATTCAGCAGGGAATAGGAGATGTCCTGTTCCCCTGGGTACCACACGGGGTAACTAGGAATAATGGCCACAAGTTGATAGAGAACAGGTTCAGGCTAGATATCGGGGGTGTTACTTTATGGTTAGGGCGGCTAGAACCTGGAACCAACTTCCAAGGGAAGTGGTGCTCGTTTGTACCGTGGGGGTCTTTAAGAGGAGACTGGATAGACACCTGACTGGGGTCATTTGACCCCAGCATCCATTCCTGCCCAAGGCAGGGGGGCGGACTTGATAATCTGTTTAGGTCCCTTCCGACCCTAGCTACTATGATACTATAAATTGGCTGAATCTGAATCCGAAGCGAATACTAGCCACTTTGCACAGGCCTAGCAGATACACTGCTTCAGACTAAAGCTTTTTGTACTTTAGAATATTAGAATAAAAGCTTGCTTCAGCCACCACCCAAGGAAGATCCCAACCATTAAGCAGAGGCATGGCTTAGTTCCCAGAGACTTGTAGACTTTGTTCATGGAAACCTTCCTTCTCCTAGCTGCCTAACAGCCTCTGGCAGCCAAACTTGTTACAGCTGAGTCTGTCTGATCTAATTCTTACCCACTGTCAAGTCTCTGATCATCCTTTCTCTGCCTTTAAAAATCCTAGTTTCTTTGTGCTCCTTCCAAGTCTTCGCCCAACCAAGCTGATTCTTCCCTCCCGGGGAATCATCACTGAGCTTCCCAGTCAGGCTCCCTCTGGCTGTTTCTGGCTTTTGTCCCATGCATCTTGCATTCCTTTCACAAAATTTCAACTGAAGGGGCTTGCCCATTCTCCTGGGAGGTGAGACATGCAGACTTGAAGCTACTCAGGCTGAGGATGACCTCTAACCCAGGTCTCCTCCCTCTACTTGGGCAAGCACTCTGACCACCAGGCTAGTAGAGAAAAGTGGGCACTACCTTCAACACCACCAGTCAGTCAGTCACCTCACCTAAGTATGCCCTGGATCCTCAGTGAATGGAGGTCCCTAATGTATAGCTTTGACTCAAGTGCATTTGTTCCAGAGATGAAGCGAGATTTCAGACATGACCTGGTAACTAGTGTTTCCTACTGGCTGACTGGATTGTTGTTCAGAGGCACCTGCCTCTCCCCATTAAGTCAATAGGGGTCCTACCCAGCTCTGCCTATTTGGATCACTCTCCTGAGGCAAGGGGTCTAGTTTTCAGGCTTTGCAGTGCCACAGTGGATGCACCTACAAGGCTGATCTGGATCTAGCCCTTAAATCTTTCACTGTTTCCCTGTGTCTCAATGCAATTATTGTATTTCCTTTCTGTGTTCCACTCAGTGTTTTCTATAGCTTTCTAGCACAGAGGTGCCCAGTCTGAATGCCACATTCCAGCAAGTGTCAGATAAAGAGGCAGCATTGTTTATGGCTTTGTGCTTCTGCATATACAACTCAAAATTGCATTACCATTTTTTTTTTTGTTACCATCCTACTGCACACTCCTATCTAACTGTCCATTGGCATTATTAGTCTCTTTCAGTGTCATTGCTCTTCAGGTTTTTTCCTTCATCATAACAGTTGGTAATTTTCTTTTAAGTTTTTCTTCATGTGAAATTTCCTTAGTCTCATTTTATTTCTTACCTCCCCTTCCTCCAAGTTTTCTGTGCTTCTTTATGCTATATCTTTAGTTCCATTGATGTTTGTAACACTTACCAAATTGCTATCTGCAAATTTAACTACAATGCAGCTTTACTCTCTTCCAGACTATGAGCAAATGTATTAAATAGCATATGTAACTAAGCACTTTCTTTTAAATATAAGTCTTCTTATAGTGATTTACTTTTAAGGCTTGTGAATTAGTTTGAACATCTAAATTCTTTGTTTTTCAGATGTATCTATTCATGAGGATTTTCGACTCTATTTAAGTTCCATGCCTAGTGAAACTTTTCCAGTCACAGTCCTCCAGAATTCTGTCAAGGTAATGTTGGTTTTTTTTTAAGTGATATTAAGTATAATGATCAATAATAACACATGACAAATTATTTACAGAGCATTTCAAAATTATATTTTTAATTATTATGATTTGGGAATTTGATGATGCAAACTGAAATGTTTGTAACTTTTGCCCTCACACTTAGGACTATCATTTTCTTTAAATACTCCACGTGGTATCAGCTGACAAACAAAAGTCCTACTAGAGAAGACAGAAGGAACCAAACATTTCATTGGACTAAAAAAACTGTAAAACCTAGAAGCTTGTCTGCACTTTAACTAAGAGCTAAACTGAACACCAAAACCATACAATTGGAGGGAAGGTGGTATTTCTAGGGAATGCAGGATGAACAAGGAGGGGACTCGCTCTTCTCTACAGAGCTTTTTCTAGGCAATGTAGGACATTAGCTGCTTTGCTACAGCATTGCCCCATACAAACTTTAATTAAAGAAAGACAATCCAAAGAGGATAACTACTCAAAAGGCACCCATCTTGACATCAGCTAAGCTGGAAGACAGCAGAAACTCCCTGCTCCTTCAAGTTTGAGACTTGTTAAATTCTGTAATCCATAAACTATCTACCTCTACCAAGATCATGTTAATCTACTTATTCAAAGGCCTTTCAGGGATAAAAACCTGTGCACCCTGGTGCCCAGGAAGTGCAGTCAAGCTAAGTACATAGTGCTCAGGAATCCCTGCAAATTCATTTTGATTCTGGCCTGACATATGCTGAAATTGAACTTTATTAGTGAATGTTATGAGTCATGAACCAAAAAGATGACAAAGGCATAAGGAAAATACAGAGTGCCCGAGCAAGTAACTAACATACAAGGGATGGGGGTGAGGAGGGGAACACAACTAGGTTACAGAAAATACAAAGTTAGCCAACTAAGCCTGGGGGTGAGGGAGGAGGTATAAAAACTAGGGAGGCGGTAGTTATGGGGGACCTAATCTACCCAGACATTTGCTGGGAGATGCAGACAGCAAAGTCCCACCGTTCACGCAGGGTCCTATCCTGTGTACAGGACCTCCACCTGATGCAGGAGGTACATGGTCCCACTAGGGGGAATGCCTTACTGGACCTGGTACTGGCAACAGGGGATGACATGGTAGGGGACCTACAGATCAGTGGTCACCTGGGGGCCAGTGATCACCAAATAATAGAATTCATCATAAGACGTCGAGTGGGTAAGGTAACTAGTAGGGTGAAAATGCTAGACTTTAGGAAAGCGGATTTCAATGAACTCAGGCGTTTAGTCAAGGATGCATTGCAGAGTAAGAGTTTTGAAGAGATGGGAGCCCAGGAAGGGTGGCTGTGCCTTAAGGAAATGATCCTTTGGGCACAGAGGGAGACGATCCCAATGCGGGGGAAAAAGGGGGAAAGGGGCCAAGAGGCTTCCTTGGCTGACCAGAGAAATCCAGAGCAGCCTACAGGCTAAAAGGCAGGGGTGACAGGAATGACGTCAGGCTCACCGTGCTCTACCCTGCTGCCTCCTTTACCGTGCCAAGTTGTCTTCTTGCACCCTCCGATTCTCGCCCGCCACGTCTTGGATGTTATGAATTTTTATAGGGAGGCTACCTTCAGTCCTCTTGGTCACGGTCCTCCTGTCTGTGGTGGTCCCATGCGCCCAAGCCTTAAGGGCTATGCGTGGCTCCTACCACCCCAATACCACGCCCCAAGCCTCGCACATGTAAAAGGGATGTTGGTTCTGTCCTTCTCTCTATTTGCGCCCTTTTTAGCTCTCGGGCCTGCTCCGTACGCTGCCCCGTCTCTCGGGCTCTTCTCTGGAGCTGTGGTCTGCACACCCTGAACTCTGTGCCCTCGCTGGGGCTGGGGTCCTCACTATACCGTGAGTCCCCTATGAGGCCTCCTCCATCCCCTTATAGCCTCACCCAAACCACCGGTGTAAACAAACAAAGCAAACACAAGCCCCTAGGCCATAACTGAACTTAACGCCACCAGGCTATAATCACGTTACTAAAACGTCCCAGAGCTGCCCTCCTTAGCCCTGCTTGGAGCAGTACCTGCAGTTCTCACATCCTTGCTCAGGGAGCTCTTTCTGCCTTGGCTGCTGGTACGGGACTGCCTCTGGCCTCCTGCCTGTGCTTTATATATAGGGGCCAGGCCCTGCCCCTTCCTCCAGCCGGCTAGGCAGGTATAAGCCATTAGCTCCCTTTGGTTGCCTTGGCAACCGGCACCTGAAGAGTCTTCCTGGCTCTCTCAGTAGCAGGCACCTTAGTGTCCTGCTACAGGGGGCATATAAAAAGTGGAAACGGGGAGAGACTACTAAAGAGGAGTATACCTCCTCTTCTCGTGCTTGTAGGGAGACAGTTAGACAAGCCAAAGCTACCATGGAACTGAGGATGGCATCCCAAGTTAAGGATAACAAAAAATTGTTTTTTAGAAATATAGGGAGTAAAAGGAAGGCCCAGGGTGGAATAGGACCTGTACTAAATGGGCAGAAGCAATTGGTGATGGACAGGGGGGAAAAGGCTGAACTCCTCAATGAGTTCTTTGCCTCGGTGTTCCTAAGCGAGGGGCAAGACAAGGCTCTCACTGGGATTGTAGAGAGGCAGCAGCAGGGTGCCAGACTACCAAGCGTAGACCCTGAGATGGTGCAGAGGCACTTGGAGGAACTGGATGCCTTTAAGTCGGCAGGCCCGGATGAGCTCCATCCGAGGGTACTGAAGGCACTGGCTGACATCATTGCACAACCACTGGCGGGAATATTTGAACACTCGTGGCACACGGGCCAGGTCCCGGAGGACTGGAAAAGGGCCAATGTGGTCCCCATTTTCAAGAAGGGGAGGAAGGAGGACCCAGGCAACTATAGGCCAGTCAGTCTCACCTCCATCCT